TGCTGCCTTTTGGAATCTTCTGTTCAGCTCTTTAGTGTCTTGGAGTCTTCCTTGTGCTTTGGCTTTTCTACATTCCAGTGCAATCTTCAGAGTTTCTTCTGACATCCATTTTGGTCTTTTCTTCCTTTCCCGTCTTTGTAATGACTGCCTGCACTCTTCCTGGATGATACATTTAACATCCTCCCAGAACTCATCTGGTCTTCGTTCATTAGTGTTCAAGGCCTCAAAATTTAATCCACACAATATAATCATGTTCTTCCTACTTCCTACTTGTGATTATCATTTCTATTACTTATTCTTACTCCTTCCTGCCTTCTGGGATTTAGCCCTGGGTGAATGCTGCCATTTTTACTTCATAGACTTTTGCTAAGGAGTGTGTTCTTAACTTCCCTGATATTCTGGTCTTATATAGGTGTGCCTGTTTTTGTTGTTGTGTACCATTCAGTTGTAGCTGACCTACAGCTGACCCTCCAGTGGGTTTTCAGAGAAAAATTAATCGCTCAGAAGGAGATTGCCCATCCTTCTTTAGCGGAGAAGCTCATGGGATTTGAACTGCACACCTTTGGGAATGCAGTGTAGCTTCTTGACTCTAGGTCAACAGAGCTCCCTATATTTCACAAAAAATTAAGTCACAGGGATGAGTTTTGTTACAGGCTCAAAGGTTCCATTGGTTTTGATAATATCAGTAATTTTATATTTTTAGTTTGCTCCATTTTGTCTCCAACGCTATTCAGGACCCTGCACTGTGATCCCTTTAGAAGTGAGAAACAGTGGTAGCTGGGTATCACCCCAGTTCTTCCAGTCTCAGAGCCATAGACGTTGAGGTTCTCTTGGTGCATAATTTCTTTGTACTGTTTTAGTGCATTAAGATCCCGAAACCGAGCAGAGTTTCTCGTTTCTGGATAGGGAGAGATTGTACCTGTTCATCTTTCCTCTCTGTCTATGGCAGATTAGCATTTATTATTGGTGATTATGTATGTAATAGTGTTTATTTTGTTGACTTTATTTCTATCTGCCTATATAGTCTCTAAAAGATTAAAATTTATTATTGATATTGTAGAGTTATGTATGTAACCGTGTTTATTTTATTGACTATTTCTTTACATCTTTCCTTTCTTTAGGGATATTTTATGAATCATTCCCTTACTGTGTATTTTTTAAAAGATACTGGCTTTAATTGAATTAATGAGCTAATAAGAGAACAAGCCCTGTTTGCTACTTACATGAAAGAAGATTTTAAAAAATGGTCACTGCACAAAATCAAAGAATAGGGTTATGAATTAAATCCTTAGACTGTAATCTTTACTCCTCAAGAATAAGTTAAAGTTTCCACAGCAAATTTGTTTTCCCTACACCCATCTTACTAGATATCTATTGAATATTTTCTAATTTTTACTTTCCTTTCTCTCCCTCCCTATTTCTGGAATAAAAATCAAGATTGATTATTTTAGTGTGTAAACTTTATCTGCAGGAGAAAGATGGGCAGTCTCTTCCTTTAAAGATTTATGATCTTGCAAACCTAGTGGAGGATCCCTATGGTCAGAATTGACCAAAGACTGTGGTTATGTGTCATGTGTACATAGAAAAATATAGTTATGTGTACAAGATTATCTCCTCATTGCTTATAAAGGTACATATTTAGAATTTCATTGCCCTTATTACTTGGGGTTTCAGCATGAAGAATGACAGACTTGGTAAGTTAGTCTTTCTTTTACACAACTGCTGTGACTTATTAAAAGGTGAAGTGTTTATCTTAAAGGAGTTTTTCTTTTAATATCCTGCAGAGTGGGTCTGTGAGAACAGGCTT